TGCTACGTTCCTACAGAAAGTGTTTCAGTTGGAACAAACCCTGAGACCTTCCAACAGTTAATACAGTCCCCAGTCCTTTAATTAAAAAAAGATTACCAGACAACTCTATTCTCAAAACCATGCACTGCCTCAGAAAATCTCAACTCCATCACCTTTTGCCTGGAGGGAAAACCACCTCTGGGCCTTTGCAAGACAGCTCCTGTGTTCTGACAGCAAATCCATTCAGCACTGCTAGGACTGATCCCAAGCCCGGATGAGTCGGTTAAGTCAGGACCAAACGGTTTAAGAAAGAGGGTGGGGTAAGCATGTGAACATGTGTGCACATCCAAAGCACAGGAAAAGTGCCAAAGAGGCTGATTAAATGAATGGAGAAGTGTTCACAGACCTTCCCAGCTTCTAAAATGATGAAATACAGTGGTTTCACTTAATAGTGGCTATCCTTTTGTCAAAACTTGGAGCACAAATGAGCCTAATGGCTGCCTGTTACGATCCCCAAAGACATTGCTCCTCATTGCCCCTTATTTCTCAAACGCCAGCTGTCTCACAGCGCCCTAAGAGATTGCTTTGATGCTTGCTCTTCCGTGGCTAAATCCAGTCCTTCTGCACTGAGGGGCTCCGAGCACTGGCGGAGGAAGTGGCAGAGGAAAAGACAGTGTAGTTCCCCATTACAAATCAAAGAGCGTAACTGACATCAGAAGACAAGCACACAGACGGAGCAAGCAGAGCATGGCGCGGGACAGGAGGAAGAGCCTGGCTGCTGTGAAACAGGGAAAAACAAACCTTACAGGGCAAAAACAGAGGTGGAAAAAGTTGCTGCAATGGTGCAAACCATCTTCTCTCTGCAGTTAAAGCTCGTCGTTTTCCTCCTCACTTCCTGCTCTCCAGCCCTTTCTAGTCACTTCATCTCCTGTTTGTTAAGATGGGCAACTACAGGATGTTATGCTCCATTTCTGTAGCAGTGAAAACCACTGGACTTGTTTTCTTTACCCATTACCAAATGGGTTACTCCTTGATTTCCAAAGGACAGCCAACAGTTCAAAGGCTTGGTCCTCATCAACAAATGTCTACAAAGATTGAGAAAAGCTGGCTGATACTTGCTCCTCTGGCACGAGCAGAGCTCTCCAGAAGAAGCTGAATGGTCACCCGCATAGGTACTTGTCTAATGCTGCAAAACATGAGCCCTCCAGAAGCTCCAGAAAGTTCAGAGTGTAAAGCAAATGCCTCTGATTCTGAGTGTGTGCAAGGATACATGTGATAGGGAATGTGCACACACAGAGCAATCAAAATGATAACATGTAAATGCCTACATCATCTCTGTTCATCACGACACAGCTACAGAATCCAAAAGCAAAGCATTTTCAGGTAAGCCAGCCCATTTCAGCTACTGTACAGATGTATGCTTATCTATTACACACAGTATATGAAGTTCAAGACCAACTCCTACACTGTACACTACTTCCCTTGGAGAGCATTCATATAAGAGATGCTGATCGTATCACTCTGCCTTCTCCTTGCTCCCATTCTGCGAGGGAAGAATCACTTTCCCTCTCACCAGTCTCTCTCTCTGGCCTTCCCAATCGCATTTTCCTGGCTCTGAAAAAAAAAGAACTAGCTTTACAAAGCTACTGTCTCCCCCACACCCACATCCTTGATAGCCACAACACGTCTACTGTGTTGGCTCCAAGCTGTGACTTCACTGGAGCAGCTGTTCGTCTCTGGAAAGAGAATTTGGTTAGAATTCAGATTCAACTAGAGCCAAAGCTGTGCAGTACATGGCTGTCTTCAAGCAAATATATTATGCACATTACAGGCGCGGCCAACACATTTTCCGTGGGCAAGCCTGCCTCCAAACAACTGGCAGGAACGAAGGGGTGGGTTAGTAAAAACACATCTGGCATGCCTCTCTTCTACAATGAAGTCTGAAAGCAGGGAAGGCAAACTGGGGACTATGACAAAGGGATGCAAAAATAGGGTAAATCTCTGTACTGAAAGATTTAAAAAAAAAAAAAAAAAAAAAAAAAAAAAAGATGACCCCATCAGAAACTCCCT